CGGCCCCGGCCCCAGCCCCGGGGGCGCCGCGTGGAACCTGGGCAGCCCCTGCCTGGGATCGCGGCACATGCCGGTGCCGACCTCGGGCGTGCGGCGCATGCTTGGCCACGCCCCCAGTCACGTGGCCTGTGAGCGGTCCCGTCCCCATACGCGCAGCGTGTGAGCGGCCCAGGCGCCAGGCAGCCCCAAAACATTGGGGACCACTGGCATAGCATATGCTGTTAGAACTCATGGAAAGAATCACTACAACTAGTACACTGGCTCTCTTTTTCTCATGATGTAATAAAGCTCTCACTCAAGATACTTCCTTGATTAGTTGTAGAGGAGAGGTTTAAATGGTTGCAAGAAAAAAACTTCACCCCATTAATGGGGCTCCAACATGAATCACTGCTTAAAGTCAAGAGTTTACATAATAGAAAAATATCCCTTGCACTCTGCTGACTAGAAAGAAGGAAAAGAATTTCTGTGCTGTATCCTGGAGAGGCAATAAACTCCCTCTATTCTACTGGCTGGTGGAGTCTGTTCGTGCCATTACGGGGGTGCAGGAGATGGGAAAACCCCAACACGCCGTCACAGCGCTGCCCAAGCGGTTGGGGCTGGCGTGGCGAGCACACAGAGTCCAGAATCTACACCAGGGAGTTTATTTTGAAATAACAAGTAGAGCATCCACACTACCAACTCCATTATTTCAAAATAAGGGGCTGGTTATTTTGAAATAATCATGTTTGCTTTCCATGAGGAATAATGCTTATTTCAAAATAGTGATAGTGTGGATGCTCCACTGTTGCTATTTTGAAATAACTATTCCCCAGAGTCATTCAAAGTAATTACTCCCCAGTGCTTCCTGGGGCTCTCAGTCGAGGTAGTACAACCACATTAAGGTAGCCTGCCTCGGACCAATTTTGAGGCTTTCCCATATTGTGGACACACTATTTAGAACTAGTTATTTTGGGAGAACTTATTTCAAAATAATACATTTTGAAATTTCCTAGTATAGACATGCCCATACAGTTGGGCTTAGATCTTGTAAATCCAGTGACAGAGAGAATTTCTATTACACTTTTATAACAATTACTATTGATGGAAAAATCACTGGCAAGGTTTTGATTTTAGCTACATTTGAATGCATGTCTACAGGTTTTATCACTGGGTTCTTGGACAACTTTTATATATTTGATATTTATTCCACCATCAGAAGACTGTATAAAATTTTAATGACAAAAATCTTTCATCTGTGTATAGGTCAGCAACTGTGCTTTCTTCTTCATATTGTGACCACAGGAGCTGTTCAGTATTTAATCTTTACGGTACAAGCGAACATGGAATAAATGCAAGTATTTAAATATCTTGGTTTCCCTTACGTTGATGGATTTTGCTGTTCAGATACAACAGCTGTGTGATCAAGAACAGGATTCTTAGGCTATGTCTACACTGGAGGGTTCTTGCGCAAGAATGGCCGTACTAGCGCAAGATCCTGGAGAGCGTCCACACTGCCCTCCTGCTCTTGCACAAAAAGATTTACAGTATGGCGTCAGAAGATGGAGCTTCTTGCGCAAGAGCTACGCTCTTTTCTAACAAGTGTAAGCGTAAGTGCAGTGTGGATGCGCAGCAGGGGTTTCTTGCGCAAGAAAGCCCTATGGCTAAAATAGCCATCAGAGCTTTCTTGAGCAAGAGAGCATCCACACTGCCATGGATGCTCTTGCTCAAAAGCAGATGGCAGTGTGGACATGTTCTTGCACAAGAACCCACCAGTGTAGACATAGCCTTAGAGTGCAGATACACAGTATCTTGAAACGTGAGAAGGCACAATATTCATTTTAGTTCAGGGGAGAAAGATGTACGTCAAGAAATCTGAGGGATAAAAGAACAGAACCTGCTTGAACACAAATTATAATGAGTTGGTCAAAGATTTCATGACTTTAATTATACCTCTATATCTTCATTGGCTGGTGATGCTGCCCAAGGGTGAGGCTTACACCCCCATCTGTAAGTCCTCCTCCCAACCATATTTTTAGTAAATCTCAGGGACAGCTTGCAGGCTTCTGCAAATTTTCGTTTACTACCTATGACCTGTCTTAATTTTTATAGTCATCTTTTCAGTTTATGATAGAAATATATACTTCAATCAGGTAGAGATTTTCAAAGGCTGGAAGGGTCCAAAATTTTTGAAGTACAGGAGGAAGGATTTACCCTTTATGGTAGAACTAGATGTACAGGAATGGGGTGAATCAAGATATAGGGTGTCTCTATATAATGAATACTGCACCCACATAGCTATGTTGGCAGAGGTATTTCTGTTAGCATGGAAACACCACTTCCACGAACAGTGTTAGCTAAAGTAACAAAAAGCAATTGGGGGAGTATTTTAGTATACCTGTTAATAATGAATCACTCTTTTGTAATTCTGTTCATGAATACAAAAAGGTATGTGAAAATGAGAGAGAAAAAATAAAGTTAATTTACAAATTAACATCTTGCAGATGGTGCTGGTAGGCAGAGGAAGGTTGGAGGGAATTTGTCATACTTACTACCGCCACTCTGGCAATTACCCCAAAGATAAAACTTTTATATTACTTATCACCATGTAGATGACACTGTGGTAGGTAGAATAGATTTATGTTCTATTCAGTACCTCATATTTGCGAATAAATGGCATCTTCAGTAAGGCCACATCTTAATTATACGGAAGCTCAACACCACTGTGGTCGATCTTCTAGGATTTAATTTAGCAGGGTTAGTGAAGACCTGCTAAATCGAACTCAGAGAGCGCCCCCATCAGTGCTGGGACATCTGCTCCTTATGAGGAGTAAGAAAAGCCAAAGGGGTGTTTGCTCCCCTCAACCTCTCACTGAGTGGACAGCGCGGAAACATGATTTAAGATATGTTGACTCCAGCTACATAATTAACATAGCTGGAGTTGTGCATCTCAATTTGACCTTCCGATGTAGTGTAGATCAGACCTACATGTTCTATAATATACTCAATATATTTAACTTAATTCAAGTAAAACACAAGAGATCTAGGTCAGTTGTTGCTTCTTGTTCTTGGACCAGTCAGGCTCATCAGCAAGGTAATGGGCTCAAGTTCTGGAAGCAACAGTCCATCAGGAGAACTTACGCGTTCAGTTAATTGCAGCCCTCCTCACTGGAGAGCAGAAAGGCGATGAATGGAATATGTAAATTAGGAAGATCAGAGTTTTACATAGCATCTGAATGACCCTGAATGAAAAAAGTCTGCCCATCTCCTCAAAATGTTTAATACATTCAATTTATTTAAATGGACAAAATCAGGTCTTTTATTTCAAAGCATTCTTGTGCTTAATTTTTCACGCACAGAAAAAAAACAGACTATCAAAATCCCATTGTTTTCAATTTTGTGGCATTTAAATCAGAAATTACAGCTGTAACATTTAAAAATAGTTACATTTGGAAAATTGGCACATCTGAAGTTTCATTACCTGCTTAATTACAATAGCTATATAATTTCTAAGAAAATCCACGTTAATTTTAAAAGATAAAAAAGTATTAATTTTTGCTACTTGTAATACTTTATCATACAATGCTGAGAAAATCTGTTAGTCATCACTAAAAGCAATAGTATATTATAAATAAGTATTCCTTTTAATTACACCTTAAATAATTTTCTAGTAAATTCTAATGAAAAAATAGTATACAAAACCCCAGCCTTTTGGTTACATAATACAATCTTCCTGAGATTTTATATACACAGTTTTTTTTTTTTTAAGAAAATATTTACTGTGAGGTCCGTGATCTCCACGATATAAAACTAAAATAGGCATTTCCTGCATAGCAGAAGGTAACCATAAAGGCGAAAAACTGTAAGAGAGGAAAGGGGAAAAAATTAGAAAAAAAATTAGAATATTTTCAGAGCACTTTCTTTATTAGTCAAACCTTTTCATAAAACAAAATTGTTATATTCATAAAAATGGTGCTTATTTAGGACCTGATCCTGCCAACTTAACTCACAAAGAGAAGGACCTTGTTTTGTTATTCCAATGGGATCATACTGATGGAGGAAGACACTATTCAGAGTGAATAATCATGACTGAGTCAAGCTTTTACTGTTCTTTTCCCAGTTTCTTTCCCCCTCCTATTTTCCTTATGTATTACTCAAACAGCTGTGCATTAGCTATTCAATATTATTTTAATACCTCACAGCACCAATGGTAAGGCTTTTGTTATCAACAGAAGTTACTTTAAATAGATAGCTTATGTTAAGCAATGATGAATTGGGTTGCAAATTTAGGACCAAAAAGGGTTAATACCAACAATATATCATGTTCAATATGATGTCACGGACCTGATTTTCTTACTCTTACTACTACTGGAGCAAAGCACCACTGAACACAAGGTTAGAAAAATTATGGCTCAGATTAGATACCTGTGTAAGGATGACAACAAGTTCATGACATCTATTGGTGAGTTGTGTTTAAATCAGGACCAAATTGTAGGAACTACTATAAGTATGGTTAATATACAACACCGTGAGAGTGTTGTTGCATTCTTAGTTTTGAGTCTTTCCTGAACTGCTTATGAAAAAAAATTGGAAAGCTTTCTTTTAGTTGAGAGAGGATGTTGGGTGGAGATGACTGTGTTATTACTGAATTCTCAAAAATCTCTTTTTAAGGAATAAGCAGCAGAGAGAGGATCCTTTCACAAGTTCTCAGAGTAGTAATCCAGGGTTAATAGTTAATTAAAAAAAATAAACACGCACTCTGTGCAAGTAGTACTAAAAGTATCAGAAGTTGTCCCATGACATCTCAAATGATCTGATTGATCTGCTGAGCATTAATGAACTTTTTAAAAACCTGAATCAGCACAAAAAAAATTATCGAAGCAAACAAGTTCCTGCCAGAAGCAACACCCGTTGAATGACAGACCTACAGTTACAAGCAGGCACATGAGCATGTAGTCAAATACATAGTTAACTGATGAGCCTGGGCTCATTGGTTAACCCTCTCAATTACATGCAGCCGCTCACTCCCCTGCGGCCTCTGTATCAGAGGCTGCAGGGGAGGGGGTGGGAACTGGTTTAAAAGCTGGCTCCCTTCCAAGCACCAAGCACCTCTGGAGCTGCATGCCCCCCTATGCTACTAACTCTCATAAAGAGGCATCAGCGCAGGGAAAAGGGGGCTCAGTTGGAGCTGGTACACACAGGGAATCGGCCAACTCCTGCCGAGCTGACTGCTCCCTCCACCTCCGACACAGAGGCAGTGGAGAGGAGGTGGAATGGGATCTGGTGCTTGCGCCTCCCCACCCTCCCATGTGTAAACATGTGTCTGATGACAATTTCAGCAGATACATGTGTACACAAATAAATGCATTTTAATATCCCTAGTTAAGAGGTGCCTAGAGGGAGGAAAAAACCCCAAACAACACCCTATTAAACAGCAAGTAAGTGAGAGGAAAGAGGTCCTTCACATGGGCGATAGGTGACATTTCCCCTTGTGGACACTAGGCCCCTACCCTGCCTCTTCTAGTTGTGGCCCTGCCCCCCACTTGCTGCTCTCAGCTCCCTCTGTGGCCCTGGCTGTGGCAGGGAGACTGAGACTTCAGTCAGGGGCACAGGTGAGGGCTGACTGCATGACCTGTCTTGGGCCACAGCAGAACTCTTGAACCTGGCTGGAGCTCCAAGTCTGGAGCCCCTTCCCCATTCCACACATGGTCTCACCTCATCCCACTCTACCTTGTCTCCCTGAGGCTCTGTCCACTGCTTGCTCCTTTCTACCCCTTGCCCTCTGCTGTGACTCCAAGAATGGAAAAGCTCTGAGCCCTGGCAGGGGAAGATTTTTTCCAGGGGGTCCTGGGTACATGTGCTGTGCAGTAATCTGCCACTGCCCTTCCTTCCCAGTAGTGCGAGTTTTGGGGAGAACTCCCCCAGCTCCCATTATGTGCTGCTTGTGGTCCTCCAGTTCCAAGAGAACTGATGTCAAAGTCTCTATTTTGATCACTGCATTTAAAAAAACAAAGTACACAGACACACAATTCACACAGAAGATAGGAATTGCAAAAGCAGAACAGATTAGAGAGGCACCTGAAGCTATACTAATAACCTGCAAAGTAAGTGTAATCTGCAGCTGCTCCATGTAAAAGAACAAATGGTCTGGTAGCACTTTATAGACTAACAAAACATGTAAATGGTATCATGATTTTTTAATGGGCACAGCACACTTCTTCAGATGATGGGAGTTTTGAGATTAGGATGTGCAGACCCAAAATAAATAGGGGAGAAGTGGAGAGGAGATGGGGGGTGGAGACAGGGAGCTAGAGGGAATCAGTAAGTATCTGAAGACTGGGTAGTTAAAATGAAGCAGATAAGCATCAAAGTCAATTGATAGTATCCTTCCTGACATAGTTTGTGTAGACTCCTTGGGCCACTTCATCTGAAGAAGTGGGCTATGCCCACGAAAGCTCATGATACCTTCTACATGTTTTGTTAGTCTATAAAGTGCTACCAGACCATTTGTTCTTTTACATGGAGCAGCTGCAGATTACACTTACTTTGCAGGTTATTAGTATAGCTTCAGGTGCCTCTCTAATCTGTTCTGCTTTTGCAATTCCTATCTTCTGTGTGAATTGTGTGTCTGTGTACTTTGTTTTTTTAAATGCTGACCATGTAAAAGAATTATGGTTGGGAACAACGTTCCTTCTGCGTATGGAATAACTTTTTATGTGCATGAGATGTGCGAATGCATGAGACCTTCCAAATCAACGGTTTTGGATTGCGATGATACTTGCAAGACAATGATCTACAGTTTCAGAAAATAGCTAGTGATTTTAGGCACCTGAGAAATCACCTCGAAGAGAACTGATTTTCTGGAAGTGCTCAACACCCTTCTCTCTGAAAAACAAGCCACTCGAAGGTATTTTTAAGATGGGTACCCTAAAACTGACGCATTCAAAAATCACTAGTCACTTATGAAAATTTAGAGCATTACTTAAATTACATATTATCTTCCTCTGAATTATGGTATATTATGCACCATCACAATGCAGACATGATATTCCCATTTCGGGTCACATTTTTGAAAATTACATTCTTGATGTAACATTGTCATGCACAGAATATATTAGTTTTTAATTAATTTTAAAAAAATTAACTCACTGAAGACGCTGCCCAGCTGTTGTAATTGTGACTGTTCTCCTCATTGGTAACTGATGATGCATCTACAATGGCAGCAATGAGGTACAAAACAAAGGCACTTCCATTAAAGCAGAGACCCTAGACCAGAACAGGGAGGAAAATAAGATTAAAACATTTGATATAAAGTACGTACTTCTACTTGCCACTCTCTACTACTAGAGGGAAAAATTCTCCTCTCAGTTATATCTAAAAACCCTACTAAATTCAGTGGGAATGCATAGATGGAACTGTGTGTAGAAGTTGGCCTCTCATGTAAATACCTCCAAGCTATGTAGTTGAAAATAATTCCCAGTTATGCTTACTATTGCTGTGATTAAAATAATCCAACATTTTTAGCAATAGTGTTATAATGGCAAGTGCAACTCACAAAAATATAGAAGGCATTTGAATGTAATATTAGTGGTTTCTCCGAACTGATCCCGAGAATCACCCTACTCCCTTTGCCTTTTTGGACGTACATTTGCATTTTAAGAAATCATTATGAATATCCTGGCCCCACAACTACAGCCTCAGATGTTCCCAGATACACCAGAACTGGTGTGGGCTCCCATGGTTAAGTGTTTGTCTGAGCACAATATTGCAGGGACACCCTGCACACTGTGGAGCCCAACTGTGTAAGTGTAAGGATACAGCCTTTTTCTGTAGCCATATCGTAAGGCCTTAAGCCTACAGTCTTCATCTACAGCCAGACTGAAAGAGCAGCTAGGAAGCTGGAAGTCATATCCTCATTCCATCTAAATTACATTAAAAAAGTGTAATACCAGGCTATAAAGAAGGGGACCCTGTCCTAATGGCACCCAATATCACCAGATAAAGGAACAGATCTTAAGATAGTTAAAGAAAACTTCATTTGATAGTATTTTGTTGGACAGGAAACTACTTATCAACAGTTGGGGTTGTGAAACCTAATTTCTTTATTTTTCTATCATTATGGTCCTCACTTCCCTACTGTTTGCTTGCATGAGCTCTGTCTGGCTCTTTAATTGGTTGTCTGCTAAATAATTAATTTTGCCAGGTGTAAATTAATAAAGTTGGTAGAGTATGAGTGGGTAGGTGATTCTGCTACGGTACATTAGGACTGGTTAGTAAAATAATTAGTTAAGGTATAGCTAAGCAGGACTCAATTTTCACTATAAAAACTGGGGTCCAAAAGGAAGTTCTTTGTGAACCAATTCCAGGACACAGCTGCAAGATCAGAGCAGCCAGACTCGGGCCATTGTGGGAGGGGTGTGGGGAAAGCAGCTAGCAGCCAGCAGAACTGTGCAATCCAGGGTAACCACCCCAAGGCTCATGTTTTGGGGCCCCCCCCGGGGACTAGTAGGACATCTGGTGGCAGCAGTAGGGGCCAGGTCCACCCTCACACTCACCAGACACAGCTTGGGGGAGGGAGTTTAGGATGGAACGCCACACACTTCTCAGTGGCAGGAAGCAGAACGACATGGTTGGGAGCCAGGAGAGCAGAGTGGGGCTTGATTGCTCATGTGGAGTTGGAGGAATGGTCACCTGGCCAGTGCCCCCGTGTCCCTCTCCGGCAGTCACCACTGGCCAGACCTCAACTCCGTGTCAATAACACCATGCAGAAACTGGAGCCCCCCAGATGGGCCTCGTCCTGACTAACCATCAAGAAAAGCTCATCTTGTCCTATTGGGAACGGTGAGCATTGTATGCTTAGCATGTGCATTCTGTTACGGGGATTGCTAATAAATAAAGGTTAAATAGGATATTACAGTATAAGGCTCTTTCACTGGTAAAAGACCCTGCAAACTGCAGAGTGTACGATGAGGCCTGAGCCCTAGGAATGGGTAAGAGTGGGTGCTGTAGAGTATGTGAATAATAGAGAATTTTGTGCGGATTAGGGATGTAAAATTCCATTTAATTGATTAACTGGTTAAATAATGTTTAACTGGTTAACTGATTAAAGGGCAGCAGGCGTGGGCGGTGGTGCCGCTGGGCTGGAGTGATACCCCCACTTACTGCGCCTGGGCTGGAGCCAGTGGTCCCTGTAAGCTGAGTGCTTGGGTGGCCTGCTCAGCAGAGAATCAGGTGCCACAGCTTCTCACAGCGGACAGTATGTGTTTCTATTGGTGGTGCACATCTGCACATTACTCAGTGCACTTAACAAAATGTATTCTGCCCAAAGACAGAGAAACTTAGAAGGAATCTTGGCTGGAGCACACACACACACCCCTCGACTGGAGCAGCGCCTGGTCCATGGTTGGTGGGGAGTTGCTCCAGCCCCCACTGATTGAGATGTAATGGAGTTGCTACCCATGCTAGGGATGTGAACGGTTAACAGGTAAGCCTCACCCTAAATAGGTGAGACTTATTGATTCTTGTTAGAGGCTACTGAATTCACCAGCCATTGATCCTTGCATAATCATAAAAGCTATTGCAGTCTCAGAAGTGCTGTGTAAGTCACAGCTGTAGAGCATCTGCTGCCACTCCATGGTATGATGGGAAAGAAGCACTCATCCACACACACAAGCACATAGCCCAGCCTGGCCATTCACATGAAGCCCTGCAGCCCAAGATTTAGGATTCAAATGTAATTTGTCAAGACAAAATTAAAATGTGCAAAACATGTAATCTTCTTTGTTTTAGTGCTGGTCTTATTCAGAGGCTTTCAACCTGTACTAATAAAGTATCAAGGTACGAATTTAATGACTGGATCCTATGAGTCATCAGGCTCAGGTGGAATTTCATGAAGAGGCCCTTTATTTCCAAGTCTTCAAAAGACGGTCTGTTAGTTTTTTGTTTTTCCTCCAAAGAAACCCAATTATCCCAGAAAGCTGCAAATCCTTGCGATATCTTGTCATGCACAAAGGAAGGAAGAACATTATTTTTGTAAAGTGTTGCTTTGGGAGATAACATTGTGAGGAAGAATGGAGCCAAATGCAAGTTTACTTTGCCCCTATTACCAATGTATTATTCAAAACAAAGGGTTCGTGTTAAATTACCATCTGCTTCTTAAATCCAAATGTACTAATTTAAAGCCTTCCATTCATTATTCTTAATGAAAAATGTGCACACACACATACTCTAAGGGCAGACAATTTTGGGACAGGTGACGTTAGGTTAATTTGCAGTAAAGTAAGTACATCTTATATGCAATAATTTATGAAGTAGGATAATAATAAAGTTTGGATGCTGCATTGAATAAATGTGTGTTTGGGCTAACAATTTCTGGAGTATAGGGAAAAACAAAAACCCACCTAATTTGAGAGATGCTAGCATCTGGTCCTGCTAAAGGGAAGCAACAGCAATTTATACTGGAAGCAGATCCAGTATTCTTCCTAGTCAACCACAAATTGGATGGGTCCAATTCATTCATAGGTCATAACACAAAACTCTTCTAGAAGCACTGTGTAAAATAACCTGAAATCCAAGCATTTGCAGTTTGGCATTCCTTCCTCTCCCTCCTTCCCCCTCTATTCTCTAAAGTTCTTCTATCACGGAGGCTGCCCTTTCAGTCTGCATCTAAACAATCTTATCTGTTAAGCAAGTTGAAAAAATTTAAACACTTGGCTCTATAAACAGGTGGAGACCATTTCAGATTTGTCAGGTTGTCTACCACCTAGATCACTTCCGTTGATCTGCAAGCTGCTACCTTGTCTGATTCTGTTGCTAATAAATACAATGAATGAAGGCAGTCACCAAAACAATTCAAATTGATGTTAGCGATCTTATTTTTTGACTACACGTCAAAGGTAATTACAAACAAACAAACATACAATCTCTGAACTCATCAAGGTACAGTACTGCAGTAAAATAATTTAACTTTTTTGCTACCTATGCTTATCAGGTAGTTGACTAGTCAACTAGTCGCTTACCCTTACCAAAATTAGGGATGTGTTATAATTGTAAAGGCATTTGCTACTCCTGAAACTTGAAAGTATAAAAGCTATTTGAACATAACCCTAGTTGTACAGACCAATACTGCTACAACAAGCTACTTCGCATGGCAACAAACAAGATTTTTTGCCTTGGCTTTCTAAAGAGTCAGAGTATTAATTAAAATATTGTGTGTCATGACTGTTAAAGTAATAAGAAGTTGTCACATGAAAGTAAAATATCCTTTATATTACAAAAAATGCTTTAAAACTGTTTAATGATCTTTAACATAAGAATGGCCATACTGGGTCAGACCAAAGGTCCATCTAGCCCAGTATGTTGTTTGCCAACAGGGACCAATGCCAGATGCCCCAGAGGGAGGAAACACAGCAGGTAATCATTACGCTCTCCTGTCTTCCATTTCCAGACAAAAATCTTTACGTTTAGAACCCTCCAAAAGCTATATAAAAATCATATATTAGACACACACCACAATAGAATTATACTAGGTCATGGATGAGTCATGGTGAGTAATAGGCTGGCTGAGGTAGCAAAAAGCTTCTAGGTTTTTGTTTTTTCATTAAAATTTTGACTAACAAATATACTGCCATACTGTGACTAAGATAAACTACTAATAGAAAGTATTTCATAAGAAGCTGAACTGGCATGCAATTTAAAATGTCTCACACAAATCACAGCCGCACTATGTCCCCCTCTATTGGCTAGGTCATATACAGATTTATAAATCTACTATTGCCTCTGAGTAACTTGGTCCTAACTCAAGGGCTACGTCTACACTGGCCCCTTTTCCGGAAAGGGCATGTAAATTTCACTAGTCGTCGTAGGGAAATCCGCGGGGGATTTAAATATCCCCCGCGGCATTTAAATAAAAATGCCCGCCGCTTTTTTCCGGCTTTTAAAAAAGCCGGAAAAGAGCGTCTACACTGGCCCCGATCCTCCGGAAAAAGGCCTCCGGAAAAGGGCACTTTTTCCGGAGGATCGGGGCCAGTCTAGACGCTCTTTTCCGGCTTTTTTAAAAGCCGGAAAAAAGCGGCGGACATTTTTATTTAAATGCCGCGGGGGATATTTAAATCCCCCGCGGATTTCCCTACGACAACTCGTGAAATTTACATGCCCCTTCCGGAAGAGGGGCCAGGGTAGACGTAGCCAAGCAGTACAGGCTCAGGCTTTCAGATGCAGGTTTAATCCCTATAAAAGATCCAAGAAAGAGCCTTTATTGCTATCCTCCTAGGGTTGCCAATTTTGGGTGGGAGTATTCCTGGAGGTATCATTACATGACAATCTTTAATCACTGCAGCGGGACAAAGAGCTACACTGTATTAAAGCAAGGGTTCTCAAACGTCACTGCATCACCTCTTCTGATAATGAAAACTGATGGGGGGGAGGGGGGGGCGAAGCTTGAACCCTGCTGTGCCAGGCAGGAGGAGGGGCAAAGCTTAAAGGATTCAGCTGAAGATGTAACCTGAAACTCACCAGTCAGGGCTGAAGCCCTCAAGCTCCGGATTCAGCTCTGGGTGGTGGGGCTTAGGCACTGACTTTGGCCCCAGGACCCAGCAAATCTAACATCAGCCCTGGTGACCCCATTAAAATGGGGTCATGACCTACTTTAGGGTCCTGATCCATAGTTTGAGAATCACTTTATTAGAGCACATGCCATGTGTACACATTTCCATATTCATTGTTGGAAAAAAATAAAGCATTGATGAACCAATGACCCAAATAAAAGTACAAAGGAAATGAGTTGATGGAACTGTAATGGTTAGGCAAAGAAAGCCTGACATTGTACTAAACTATATTGATATTCTGGCTAGCTAGTCCACATAATAAGAGTAGCAATGACTTCAGAGTGAATGAGCTCTCTCGTCTTTTGAGTAAGCAAGTTGGTAGTGCAGCTTAGGTATGGGAAGAAATGAAAATTAAAGGAAAAGGATCTCAGACGTATGCCTTACCTAGTCTGGATTTAGGAAGAGGGGCTGTGCAGTAGATCATGTGTTAGACAAATTATGTGACGGATAGTGTCAGGAAAATGGATAGATGTTAAAATACAAAAGAAAAAGGAATGTGAAAGCACATAGTTCTTTAGCCACAATTATAGGGGACATCAATGCCTGTCTCCCTCTGGTACTCAGTAAACATACAAAAAAAAGCACAGCAACAAAGATTCTGCATGCTTACCACTGTGGTCCATGGCACCTGGGGAATCCTAGTATAGGTCATAGTCAAGTAGATGATTAAAAAGAACACCGTAAGAACCCAGTAAAATACAGCTACAAACATCACCCAGCCAAAGGCAGGATACCGGAAATACTCTGTTCCAGCGATCAGTGTCCATACCAGCAACCCTAGCACCTGTAAAAAAATGTAGAGAGAAAAAAAAAATGTCATACAGGTTTAGAACAGGAACACACTCCCCCATCCACTTTCAGAAATGTAATTTTCAAGCCAAGTCAACACTGCACAGTGAAGAAGGCACTGACCTTCTCTTTTATGCAACAATAAAAAGTTAATTAAGAGATGAATTGGACTGGATGTTGTATAGTAGAAATATGGGCAAGCACCCTTTAAAGAAAGCATAAATTAATGTGATTTTGTAGCTATTTAAGAGACGGTTCATTTCTTTCTGAATTGCTCCTTTCAGTAAAATTGAACCACGGTGGTGGTGAGAGAGTGGGGAGGCAGAGAAATTGAACATAACTTAAGTTATTCCTGGCAATAATTAAAATAATGGAAAGGAGTAAAATTCTCATGTATTCTATGGACATGAAGAGATTAAAACCTGAGTAGACTGATGTGGGATATTAGCCAGAAGAGGGAAAATGAGACAGACATTCCTGCACAGAAAAATGGGTGACAGCATTACTGTGAATGTTAGTAACTGCATTTGAATATTAAGATTTTTCCCATTTATGCATTTTTGCAAGTTGCCCATAAATTATAATCTTAATTAGAGAAGAACATAATTGAATTTCTTCATAATAGCAAAAAGCAAAAAATTTACACAATCTAAAGAGAAACCAGGGCCAGAATCTGGACCTAAATTTCTTAATATTTAAACGAATTTTGATTTCTTCCTTCTTCCACACCAATAGTGCAAGTCACCTAGCGAGGAGTAACAGAACAAGATAATGGTTCTCTTGCCCATTGCATACTTACACAGTCAGGGAAAAATGCAAAAGAATCAAATAGTTATGCTATAGCTTCACTTCCATCAGTTTTGTTCCAGCTCCAGTGCTACTCAGGGGCTATGTTCCCACAGACTTCAATGGTGCATGACTTAAGTCCATAAATCACTAGTATTAAAATCTTTCAACATCATGTAGGTCATAAGGTAAAAGGCTAAATTTTAAAAAAAAGCCACTATAATTTACACTGCCCTGTTGACTTTCCAAACAGAGTCTTGCTCTGCTAGTTCTGAAAACATTAGAGGACTTGAGTTTATCCTTCAAATTGTCATCCAAGCTCACCCCTTCAGTCTGCCATCTTGTTTCTTTGTACAGGTTGAACCTCTCTAATCCAGCACTCTTGGGACCTGACTGGTGCCGAACCAGAGAATTTGCCAGACCACAGGAGGTCAATACTGTCTAGCAGCATTACCAACACTTCCGTGGCTTACTGGGCTTTTAGGGGTAAATTAGAGCTAAACAACAGCACAGAACACTGAGAGCCAGGACTGGGGGCTGTAAACAAACTTTATAGGACCATAGGAAAATTGGCCACAGCCATAATAAGTGGACATACAGCTAACTGAAATCATACCGGATTACGGATGTTGCCGGACCAGAGAGGTTCAACCTGTACTGTATTCTAATGTATATACACTAGGAATGTGAATGGTTAACTGGTGGGGGCTGGAGCAGTTCCTTGCCCACTGTGGGCAGGAGGCTGCTTCTGCTGCAGGCAAGGGGCATTCTGGCCCCGCCAGAGTAGCCCCTGTTTGCAGCAGGCCTGACACAGGCATGCCACAGGCAGGGGTGCTCCAGCCCAACCAGAGCAGCTCCTACTCGCTGCAGTGGGGTGGCTCCAGCTCGGTCCCCATCTCCCCTCCCCCCACACCTGTCCCTGTTCAATAAGTTAACCAGTTAAATTTAACTGGTTAAACTGGTTAGCTAATTAAATGGGATTTTATATCCCCAATATGCACAGTGTATTCTTGTTTGTTTTATGTCAATTTTTGAACTTGCTATTTGAAGAGATAAAAAGAATCCTGCTTGATATCAGTTGATTTCTCATTGACACTTTTAGATAAGTAGTCAGTCCTGGAATGTATATCCAAGGATCCAACAACCTGTGATTAGCTTCACCTACCACTGGAGGTCAGCAATGCCCAACAAACATTCCAAGCAACATTAAGAGAACAATTACAGTTCTGCATCTATCTCCTTTTATAAAGGTTATCAGCTGAGTGTAAAGGTTTCAGGTAGTTCATTATATTTCTAGTTCTGACAACATTCTACAAGCAACAGCAACTCAGTTATCTAATGCCTCATGTTGCACAAACTACTGGCTGATTACATTAATACCAACAATCAAATGCTAATACAGCAACCACGTTAATAAAAACTGTTTAGTCAATTAAATACCATTATAAGGGTATCATACTTGCAATAAAAAATATGTTTTATACCTAGTCATCACTTTATTCCAAATGTATTACCTATAAGTTATATCAATAATAATTGGGATACAGGTTTTACAAGTAATTGTCTGAACCCTATGGGCCTAATTATTGGCAAATGCCAAGAAAAAAAAAAAAAAGACAGAGGGAGAGACAAAAAAAAATCCTGATAAGAATACTTGCCAAAATTATTATTAGCAGCTTTTTAAATAGGCACTTTGGCATCCAAGAACAATTATGGTTCATAATCTAAATCATTTTCAGACATCACTGTGATCTGCAAAATGCCTCCTTAGCTACTGCCAAACCATAGTAGATGCCTCTGCTTCTGGGCATGCACACTGCTACCTCTGTCTAGGCACCTGAGCATCTATCTATTGCCTAAGCCCCAAAGCAATCCACAAGCCCAGAAAGACAGGCATTTGGCTATCTAAATCATGCACGGGGCCTGATCAGTTAGATGGCCTCTGATCACATCTACTAGATTCAGGCCCCTAAGGTCAGTTCACAACAAACACAGGGATGGGGGGGAAAGAGGAAGCAAGAGGATAACCTCCCTTATGATCTTTAGCCTAGTGGTTAGGGTATTTACCCAGTTCCTGGGGAGGCCCCTTGGCTCAACTGCCCAGCTGTCAGAGGAGGAGGAGGAATCAGATGAGCAAGTGAACCACTAGGCTATGGAATAGTCTGATGGGCTTCCCCCCCAATCTCTCCTGTTGAAGTTGTTCTATTTAATTACATAATTGAACAAACCTCGTTCAGATATCCACCAAAAGAGAATACTTTTTTCTAACAATATTTTCATACATATTGCTCACTTATCTCAGGAGTATGTGCATTTTAATATTTGTCTGGCATGCATTTCAAATAATGTATTTTGAATTTTTATTATTATTTTTTGATTGAAAAATTGCTTTACCACTGATGTGGTCTAAGTAGTAATTAAGAAGCAGAACAGATATTGTTCCTGGAAACTTGTAAGATATACACTCTAAAAGGTTATTTGTTCATATTCATCATAACTATAACAATTAATGTATTAAGAGTATATTTGACATTCAGTTGGATTAGGATACTGTTACTGTATGTTACAGGAACTAACAGACAAACAGTACAGGCAGTCCCCGGGTTACGTACAAGATAGGGACTATAGGTTTGTTCTTAAGTTGTATTTGTATGTAAGTCGGAACTGGCTCCAGATTCAGCTGCTGCCACTGAAACTGACACGGGGCTGACTACAGGAAGCCACAGGCAGAGTTGCTCTGCTCCCAGCTTCCTGGAATCAGCCTGATCAGTTTCAACAGCTGCTGAATCTGGAGCCTAGGACAGAACAGCTGGGGCGCTGTCCGGTAGGTTCCCACAGGACCAACCCCGGCAGCACCCCAGCTGCTCTACCCGAGGCGTCCCGCAACAAAAGCCTGGTCTGCTGGGGGGGTCCAGCAAAGCTGCTGGACCCCCCCAGCAGACCAGGGACACCAGAGCAAAGTCGCCGCCTGGGCGGCTTTGCTCACATGTCCCTGGTCTGCTGGGGGGGGTCCAGCGGCTTTGCTGGAACCCCCCCCAGAAGACCAGGGAGACCAGGAGAAGCTTTTCTCGCCCCGGAGGACACGGGTGGCGACCCGCCGCCCGTGAGCTCTGGGGCGAGAAAAGCCCTGTTCGTAAGTGCGGATCCGACATCATAAGTCGGATCCGCGTAAGTTGGGGACTGCCTGTATTTCAGATGTCTAGATTAGAACTGAAAAAGTCAGACCATTTCATGGTCACTGACTCTCACTGGGAACCACGACTGTATTTGGTGAAATAATACAGCAAATGGGTAAATTGGTACTGTAAATTAGTTGAGTTAATATAGCAGTCAGCATTTAGCAAAACATCAAAGAAGTCAAAGCAACATGGATATCTAGGATAGAGAACAGAACAATTGCTTTCATTGTAGGGTTATCTTCATGTTGGGCTTAGCATGCTAAATTGTTAAGAGTTTCCGCAATGATGCAAGCCTACCTCATAATATTCTGTTTGTCCCTTACATTGTGGCATTTGTTCTTTCAGTGGCTGGTTAGAAACTGGCTGCACTCATGCAGCTGCTAAAGCAAAGAATACTTTGTTTCGTACTTCCTCATGCTCACTAGATAACAAATCTTCGCTGTGGAGAACTGCACCAGCCTCAAAACCACATTTCACATATGTCAAGAATACAGAATGTCAACAAAAACTGATAGGTGCTTAATACCATAAAGCAGAAGATAGCAATCAAGCTACTTAGGAAACCTTTTCACATTGCTTAATTTAGTGTGTATGCAATAATACGGGACAGTATGCACTGCTTTGAATGCACTGTGAGACAGGAAGCTGAATACATACACAAATGCTATACATGAAAAGGACACAGCAAATTATGATCAATATTGACTAAAATATTTGTTTTTAATTTAGAAGTAAATAAGAATACAGAAAGCCAGGCTTATTTATAATTATATGGTAAATCTGGAATCTTGCAGCAAAAAGAAATCAGATAAAAGTTAGCAAGAGAAGGACAGAAGAAATTGATGCATATGTGAGGTAGTATAGAGAGCTTCTGGGCTGCAAAGGGTAAACACATTTGTGAATTTGCTCTTGTTTTGCCACAGTACACAGTGTATTACAGAGCAAAACTGCTACATCATAAGGATTGGTAGTTTTTCCTTGAAGTATATTAAGGTCTAGGATTTTAATTAGGATCTCAATGCTGTAATAA